ACTCTCTTGGTACCATTGCTGGTGCTCTGAAATAGGGCTGGGTTCGGATTTTCTCTAAGACTTTGTAAACCAGAATTCGAAATACGGTTGTGACTGCCTGTGCAGCCCTCAGTCCTATCTCTTGCTTGTTGGATCCATCGTTACCTTGGCCTCGCTTCAGCGAGCTGTTTCTTTTCTCTTGCTTTGTCTCCTTAGTCCCTGGCGTGTTTTCCTCGACTCTGGCATATTTCTCAATTTTGGCCATGAGCTTTTCCATGCTTTTTGGCAATGTCTTTGCCAATAACTTTCGTAGTGGACAATCATCTTTTAAGCCGTTCTTGAAAGACGCGACCGCTATCTCTTGGTTGCACTCGGGTATTCGGTTGAATACCTCATAATACCCTTTGGCATAGGCTCTCAGGCTTTCATCCTTGCCAATTTTCAGAGCCATCATGGCGTCTATCCTTAACGGCTGTAGTTTGTTTGTCACAAACCTGGCCACAAACATCTCGACCAGGCCTTCCCAGGTTTTCACAGTTCCTTTCGGCACCTTGTGAAACCAGTCTAATGCAATTTCTCTGAAGGATGAGGGGAACACCTTGCAAAGAAACAGCTCGTTCCCGATGTATAACGCCATCGAGTTCAGGTACAAGCCGACGTGAAAGTTGGGATCCGACTTCCCGTCGTAAATCTGGAATCTCGCCATGCTAAACCTCTTCGGGGCTTCGAATTTGTCCAATTCTACCGAGAATGGCATTCTCGGCTTGACCGGGGAGGTTACCTCGGCATCTTGTTGCCTTCTCTGTAGGTAATCCCTTAGGTTCTCCTTGGTGCGACCAGGAGCTTGGCTATCTCCTGACTTCAGTCTTTTAGGTGCACTACTCTCAATTTCGTTGTGAGCCCTCTTCGACCTTTCTCTATTAGTTGCGTCGAAGTACAACTCCTGCCTTTGAACATGCTGATGTTCTTTGGGATTTGCTTCCTTGGTGCGATGTGTTCTTCGAGATTCTTCCCTTCTTGACTCTCCTCGCCCGACCTTCCTTGAAGGCCGGTGAGAGTGTTTTTCGCTCCTGGTGTGCTGGGGGGCTACAGGGATTGTTTTCTGCCCTCCCTTCTGGGCATTGGCCGCTGGAATCGGCGTGTCCTGCAACGGGAATGGTAGTCGCATGATGTTATTTTGTATCATGAAATTGACGACCGATTGTAGGTCTGCCAATTTGTTTGCCATCCCCTTCATCTCATCGTCCCTCCATAGGTATCTATCCTTCTATACCTGAAGGTCGTCCTCGTTGTAATACCCGCCATGGTCCGTTTTCTTTGGTACGTTGCCTTCCTGGGCGACGTCCTTTCCTCCGTGACTTTGATCACGAGTCTCTTCGTTGCAGTTGTCTTCTTCGACGTCAAGGTCAACAGGTTTCCCACTTCGAATAGGATTGTCATCCCCAATCTTCTCTTTCTGCCCGTTGTTGGCCATCTATTCTCCTTTCTTTTCCATAGATGGTGCCAAATTATGTGTGTTAATTTCTGACCACACTGCCAAATTAGTACTTAGCTGGAGAACACTGGCATAATAGATTAGTCTCGAACAACCTGCAACAGAAAGAAGAGATTTCGGCGGTGGTTCGTCCACCCGGGGGCACTCCGATGATCAAGTCAATTATCTCTCAAAGATAGCAAAAGAGCTAAACTTACTATTTAGAATATAAATTGCGTACCTTAGACCCATGGGGGTGCCTATCTTTTATAGCCAATACAATCCTAGTCTCAATAGAAGTCTAGCTTCAATGGACTTAGGATTACTGCTAATTTTGGACTCACAGTACGATTGGGATAAACTCTATAAGAGTCTTATCTTTATCCATACTGAAGTCCTCTCCCATTCTAAGACTCTTGTCCCTTATCCGCTTATCCCGGATTCCGATATTCTTGCAGTTAACATCTGCCTATCTGAGATCACCTCGGCGTTATGACCAGGACACGTTGCATCTCGGTTGACACTTCGGCGTCACCTTGGCCACGTGTTGACACTCAAAAATTATGTCCCCCCACAAAGTAACGGACTTTATAACTTTCAATATATATATATATATAAATGAATCACATCATTCCATTTAAAATCTTTGTATATAAATTCTATTTGTTTTACATAATTTTTTGTTTGTATAATGCCCCACCTAACAAGGTTCATGTCTAATGTAGTGAAATAGAAACTATGCTTTACAATATACAATACAAAACAAGATACGAATAGCTCTAGCAATAAAAGAGGGGCAACACCTTTTTGGGTGTAGATGCATAGGACTCTCTAATCAGGTAAAAAGGATATTGAAAATGATGGCATTGGCCATGTGTTGTGTTTGTTCTATGTTTGCTCTGGAAAAGTTAGGCTTCTCAATCCAAAATGAAACAACTTAGAAATTAGGACTCTACTATATCTACAAAGACCAATCACGGCATGGTGGTAGTGATCATCTCATGATGATATCAATATTTTTGTGGTGTAGATGCAAGTTGGGAATTGACCAAAAAAAAGAAAAATGGGAATTGACCAAAAAAAAAAAGAAAAAGTAGAAACGAGTTGAGATGCTTAATATGATTGTTCATCTGAAAAGTCAAGTTTATTTGTCCAAATTAGTAAAATTCAATGAAAAAATGTATGGACTTACGTGCTGAGTCTTTGTATTTTAAATTATTAATAACTACTATATATTTAGGCAACGCTGCTGCAGACCTCTAATTAGAGGTGCAGTCGTACAGTTCTAGTGAGCTGTTAGGCAATAAAAAAAAAAAAAAACAGTGAAGTAAAAGACAAAAGAAGAGGAAGAAAAAGACAAATTAGAGCTCCACTAGTGGTCTTTTTTTAGAGGTCTGAATCATTTTTCATATTTAGGTGGCTGGATAGAAATGATTATTTGATCATTAGACTATAAATTATGAGATTAGCAATCATGAGATACCAATTATTGTTCACATGAAAGTCCTAATATGTATAAATTAGGATCTTATGCAAAATAAAAATGTTATGTACTAAAAACAACGTTACATGTAAAAATATTTTTAAAAATATCAATATTAAGAATATGTAGATCAAATTTATTTTGAATGAGTAACTTTGAAACATAGGTTCACCATAGTATAGTAAATCCATCATTCCATGATTGAAAAGGAATAAACAAAGAAGACTTTATCTATTAAAATTTGTTGGTTCATGAATTGAAATTGAGCTTGGAAGGATTTACATCCCCCCAAAAAAGCAAAACTACCCAACAATGTTGATCTCTCTCTCTCATTGATACATGACTCCATTATTTTAGATATTTAAATTTATTTTTGGGTTTTGTTTTAATAACGGTTGTTGTCTAACAATTGATTCCCACGAAACTGTTGCTCTCAATTGCTTTCTTTCTATGAACTCGTCATCATTATAAGAATTTAATTAACCCTGAAAAAGCATATATATATATGTGAGAAAATATATTTTGTAAGTAGTTACATATTACCGTCAGACGAAGAAATTGTCTGAAGATGGCAACCGAATGGAGTGGAAAAGGATGGAGAGAATGAATTTTTTTTTTTTATTTTCTAAAGTTTTGTAAATGTAAATTTTAAAATCTGTTTAATTTTTTTTGAAATAAAAACAGTTATCTAATATGTTTTTATTTATATATTTCAAATTAAAAAAAAAAAATAGACATCAAAATTACCAAATACTGAAATGGTCACCTGGGCTTAGAACCGCCCTAACATTCATATCAGGCCTGAAATCTGAGCCCGAGCTCTCAACACCGAAAGGGCCCAAACTACTTCTTGGATTGGACTCTTGCCTTCACAGATTTCAGGTCCATTTCTAAGCCCAAACTACTGCTAACTCACATTTGTCGGATTGTGGCGTGCGGATGGTTTTTCAAAAATCCGTTTGTCATTTGGTTTTTGGATACTTCTTAAATTATCGAATCGATTTTTTTATTTTTATTTTTTTATGACTGATTTTATAAAATAAATAATTTAAATAATCGAAATGAAACCTTTGATAAGTTATATTAATTTGAATATGATGGTTAAATTTAAATTTAAATTTGAGAAAAATTCAATAAAAAACTAAAAATAAAATAAATACAGAGAAACATAATATATGATTGAAATTCAATTCTTGTATGACAACAACAAAAAATCAAAAACTTATTCAGAGTTCAAATTATGCGAATGAAATTTATTAGTGTAAATTACAAATACACCCTTTGAGGTGTGCTTAAAATACAGATTACCCATTGTGATTTGAAAAATTATAAATACCTCCTCATTAGAATTTTTAATTTAACAGAATTAACTAAAAAAAGTAAATTTATAATTGCTATTTTATATAATAATAAAATTACTTAAATTATTAATTGAAACATATTTTTAAAATCATTAGAAACTGTTAATTGGCTTGATTATTTATTAATAAAAAGGATGGTTTGCTATGATATTAGAAACCTTAGAGGGTGAAATGTAATTTTGAAAACTATAGGAGGCGATTAGTATTTTAATCATATCTCAGAGAGTATATTTGTAATTTACCCAATTTATTATAAAAAATACTAGAGATCTTAAAAATTCTATCAAATGTCTCACATGGTTGTGGGACTCATATAGTGTGGGTCCTATACCCATGTGAGATATTTTGTAAAAATTTTAGTAGAAATTTTGAGATCTCTAACATTACTCATTTATTACTTAAATAAATTTAGATCATACATTAAATATTTTGAATATTTATATTTATAACAAGAAAAATATTATATATTCCAAATAAATTACCAAATATTCTACCAAGCCTCTCACACCACACATATGTGATTCGTGTAAGTTCAAACCTAGCTCTTATAACAAACTTCATACGTGATTTGTATAAGTTTGAACCTAACTCTTATAACAAACTTTATATGCCTAACATTCCAAGAGAAATCACATAAAGGTGCCCTAAAAACTTTATGTCAATTCCCAAATTGACTAACCCCCATATGTATATATATATATATATATATCTCTCTCTCTCTAATGGAGCAAAACTCACAACCCAAATGGGAATGGAAGGTTTCAACAAACCTAAAACATGCAAGTACAGATCAAATATGGCTTCTTTTCAAGGACTTCTTCAATCTCCACAAATGGTTTCCAAGCCTACCTACTTGCTATGGCATCCATGGTACCAACGGTGAGGTCGGTTGCATCCGATACTGTTCCGGGGGCCGACTCGCCTCATAGGGCGGTGACAACCCTGTTAGTTAGTCCATTGAGGGACTGACAGCTGTTGATCCAGTAGAGAGGATGATTAGTTATGAGATCGCTGACTGCAACGTTGGGTTCAAGTCCTATGTTTCGACAGTCAAGATCGTTCCGAGAGGCGGTGGTGATGGGAAAGATGAAGGGTGTGTGATCGAGTGGTCTGTCACCGTTGATCCGGTTGAAGGGTGGAGATTGGAAGACTTGGTGAAGAGGTACCAACTTGTGTTAGATCCTATCTCGAAAAACAATACAGTTTTTAGTCGAGTGAGACCAAGAATTATGCCATTTACAATACACTTTTCTTTTAAGTTCATCTGGAGATGGAATTTTGACTCATTTTGGTAACTTAAGGAAGTTGGCCGCAACCAAATGATAAAAAATGTTATCTGCCTTTGTTAAATCGAAAGAGTATTTCTTATGAAGGTCTTTCTTTTTAAACTGCTGGTCAATTGTTGTGTCCTTATGAATTAATGCCTCACAGATCACAGGTTCTTTCCCCACAATCTCTGCTGCATCGATCTCATAATTAGGATCTCTATAATATGTCTTGCATGATACATTATTTCGGTCTTGTTCTTCCTCTAGTAATGCTTCATACCTAGACACCTTATAAGTTAGTTCCACTAAGTCTCTAAACTTAGTTGAGTCAAACTTCTTTCAAAGCCTAAACTCTAAGCCATTTTGAGCCAATCTCACGAATTCTGGCTCTGGTAGGATGACCCTACAATTGTTTCGTGCTCTTTTAAATTTGGTAATGAATTGAGCAGCCTTTTCATCAGACCTTTGGCTCAACCTTGCCAAATCTACCATGGAAACTTCTGGCTCCGTTTGGAAGAATTAGGCATGAAATGCCTCTTCCATTTGTTGCCAAGTCTGAATGGAACCAGGCGTAAGGTTAATATACCATACGAATGCTGCCCCTGTAAGAGAATTTGGGAACAATCTTAACTTCATGTAATCATTATTGGTAAATTCACCACAATGAGCAGCAAACGTAGCAATATGCTCTACTATTGACTGGTTTCTATTCCCATAAAAAAGGGCAAAGTCTGGTATCCAAAATCCTCTTGGATATTCATGTACCCTATCTACACATTCTGGATATAGTTTCCTGTACACAGGAGTTTGAACCCCTTGAGCTATTGGTCCACACATCTCTGTAACAATATCAACAATTTGGTTCCTATGGACCATATTTTGTGCCTGTTGAACCATTACAGGAGGAACAAACACAGGATTTGGTGGACAACCTTATGCCTGGGATCCTCTTGGTCCATAGGGTGGTATATGCACAAGCCAATGGTCAAGCTGAATCATCCAATAAGTCTTTGAAAAAAGGAATACAAAAAGTTATGGAAGATAATCATAGGGATTGACATAACTTATTGTTGGATGTATTGTGGGCTTATAGAACTTCTCCAAGGTTAAACATAGGAATCACTCCTTATGCCTTAGTATATGGGTATGATGCAGTGCTACCTGTGGAAATTAATGTTAAGTCCTTAAGGGTGAGATGCCAAGACCGGTTAGATCTTGAGCAACACCATCAGAGTATGTGCTTGGAGTTAAAAAGTATAGATGAAGCTCGAATTCTGACATTAAATAGCATTTTTTTTCTAAAAGAAGAAAGCAGCCAAAAACTATAATAAGAAAGTCAAACACATTGGCTTTGGTGAAGGTGATTTGGTATGGAAGACAATACTCCCAATAGGGATTAAAAGCCATAAGTTTGGCAAATAGTCACCTAACTGCGAAGGACCATATTAAGTTCATAGAGTCCTACCTTTTGAAGTATACCATTTGAGAAATTTGAATGGATATGTACATCCCAAAAAGATTAATGGCAGATATTTGAAGCCTTATTATCTAACCGTGTGGGAAACACAAGGAATAGAATAAGTGCTAAATAAAAGAACTTGAAAACATTTCAATGATAAATAAGAATTTATTTCATAGAGAGTCAAATACATGTAGCCATAGATTGGCCCAAAAGTCAGTATAGTGTTTAAATTGTTCTTTTACAATAGATGCTCTATTCTTGAGGGATGGAAACAATTGAATGGCTATAGTCATTTCTTGCTTTCGATCAACTAGCTCTTGATTAGTGATTTGCAGCTTGGTAGTAGTTCGATTCATAACTTGGTTAACTGCTGATAATTCTTCCTCAAGTTGAGCTTTCTTTTCTAACAGTTGAGCTTGACATTGGGAGACAGAGGAATGTTCACTTCAGCATGAACTTTAGAAACAAAACTTTGATCTCTCAATAACTTCTCCTCTGCAGCCTTAGCAGCATGACAAATGTTGATGTAAAAATCTATGGTGGCTGCTGCCTGAGACAAATAACTGGAGACAGCTATACCGGATTGCTCAGCAATCTTGTAACATTAGAGGAAGCCATTTTTGATTATAAGCCTCTGTAAGGCTTCGAAAGGAATCCTCGAAAAAGATGCCAACAATTCCAGACAGCTGTCCAAGTCTATCAAAGGTAAGGAAGTCTTACCACTGGAGGAAGAGCTCTCAAAGATTTCCAGTAGAGAATCAGCTGTGACTAATGGCTCAGTCTCATTGCTAGTCATTGGAGAGGTGGAAGGTATGTCAAAAAGACTAGCAAGTCTAGCCTCAAAGATATCCACCTCATCCATTGACATGGAATGTGCAGAAAGAGTCCTGGTAGAAGGAAGAAATGAATGCATATGAATAGGAGAAGAAGATGAAGTATCCCTAGCAGTCGCTATAGTTTTGGCTACTAGTTGGTCAAGAGAAGAAGGACTGGAGCTAGGCAAAGATAATGGATGATGGATTGGAGAGCTGCCAGTACCTTCTTTGTAGGAATCAGCTACCATCAAAGATGAAGTAGCAACTGGAATTTCCTTAGGAGGGGAAGGAGAAGTAAAGCTCGAAGGAGAATCAAATTGAGTAAAATCGAATGACAAATGAGGGAGGAATGGAGTTAAATCAAAAGAAAGAGGAACAGGTGTAGACGTCCCCGAACACCCCGGGAGGATGAGTCCCGTTCTGTTCATTTTGGGCTCCACTACAAGTTCGGACTCTCAAATTGTCACGGTTCTAAATCTGAACCAAAGAGTCCAAATCCGGCAAATCGTTTTGAGAAAACAGATCTTTTGAAAGAAGTGCCAAACATGGACTGCTTTGCCAGATACAGAGTCGCCACCTAAATATTTTATTTTTGAGAAATTTAGGAAACCCTGACTCGTTGCCTAAGGCCACGTGTCCATCATCACCAAAGTTGCCTCGGCTCGGGAACTTGGGTACGATTGGGGAAGGTCACTTCGTGAGCACCCCCGCTCGCCTAATCAAAGATCGGCCTCTACTAACCATGATATCTAGTTTTGAAAACATTATGCGTTCTTATTCCGGTTGTTAGCCTAGATTTACTATGTGATGCGCACAGCATACAAATATAGACTGGATCGCCTGAATTGGAACAAAACATTTCATGTTTGTTTATTTTGAAAATGGTTTGTTGGTGCTACCCGCAAGTAGGCTAAGACGTGGATTTGCCACCCTCGGGTGGGCTTAGAAAAATATGATTTTGCCACTATCTAGTGGGCTTAAAACTCACAGTCAATGCATTTATTCTAATTCAAATAATCCAACCTTCACCCACAGGCATTTAGGCAGTTATATCACATAAGCATATAGCCTCATGGTAAGCATGCTATCATGGCAGTCACTCACACGCATGCAAGGATGCTAAAGCATAAAACTTACCGAGTACTCCAAGCCAAAACAGAAGCTAATTAGAAATCCATGCATGATCCTAACTATACAGAAATGCCTAATGCAACACATGCAAAAATGTAACTATAGCAGGCTCGGCTATTCTAAACATGGCATATGAAATGCTACAGCTAACATGTATTCAACTTGGAATTGAGATACAAATGCAGTTAGTATGATGCGCCGAGCCCGGTGCATGCAAAACAGATGAATGAATGCAAACATGCTATCATACTGTATGCTAATTAAAACATGCCCTAATCTAACCATCATAAGCGGGTAAATAAAAGGGAGAAAGACGTGGGGTTGGAAGACATACATCACACATACACACACTTATTACAACATTGCCCTCGCGCAGAGGGTCCGAATAAATAATACAGTCCCAAATGAATAAATAATACAGCCCCGAATAAATACAGAATCCTAATTAATTAACAAATTGATCCAGGAAAGCAGTAAATTGGCACGCAAATCCATGGACCGCCTCAGCTCTATTCCAAATGATGAATGATGCATGCTCGGGTTGCCTTGCGTGGAGAATCCCTTGCGATGCCCCGGTTTGCCTCTGTTTTCAATTATTCTTGGGATGCATGCTAGGCTCCGGAAGGTTGCTGATTTTTGATTTGCTGCAACAGAGAGCAACAAAGGGGCATGACAACGTATTTCACATATGTATGCATGATTACTCTTTAGGGAGTGTAGTCCTCGATCCTCGTGCCACCAATCACGCATCTCGATGCATGATGGCCAAGGAGTCGAATGGCACGACTCAATATGAAATGAATGTACATGAAAACACAATAAGGCCTAGACTCCATCATGGATAATTCGGAGTGCCGGTGACCAAGGAATTGAGACACGTTCCGTCACTTGAAATACGAAACGCCCTCGTTTCCCGTGCTTGGGCTAACATCTATCCCAAACACAATGCAATATATAGCGATCCCGGGTTTACCCTTGTTGTATAGTGATCCGGACATGTGTCCGTGGATGTTGGTAGTTGTTTATTATCTTGTTTACATCCTTTCCTACTTTGTATTTGAGTTATAGGATGTGTTGGGCGGATTTGTTTCAGGTTGGTTGAGTTTAGAAACCAAAACTAGTTGCCCAGATTAGGAATGTGGTTAGTTATATGTAAATGCATGTCTTATCTGATGGGTTTAATGTTATTATTTTGAGGGCGTTACACAATATGCATTACATGCATGAATGCAATTCTAACATGCAACCTAGCATACACAATGCTATGAAATGGCATACACAATGCGCGATGTAACATGGCATACACGATTCTCTAACATACAACCTAACATACGCGATGTTATAAATTGAAATGGCATACATAATGCACAATGGACTTACACCAATATGAGTGGACCTCGGCCACACTCAAATCGGTGGCCATTAGGTGAAAATGGGACTATCGAAATGCATGCACACATGCACAAAAATCGAGGACCGATCCTAGGCATAACATGCAACTCTAACAAGGCATGGCAAGGGATGCAAGATGACATACAAACTCACAAATTCCAGCACTGAAATATGATGCTAAACTGTCACGACCCCATTCCGCCCCTAGTAGAATGGTGCCATGATGGCCAGTAAT